GAGGAATTAAGGGAATAAATAAAAACCTTCAGTCCAAGAAAGTAATTTAACTCTGATTTTTCCAATTATCACTGTGACCTTAGGGTCACACAGAAGTACATAAACATGGTTGGACTTAATTTTGGATAATTGCATTAACACTCTTAAGCTCTTTGCTTGGGGCCGAAAGTCCTTCGCCTACCTACATGGTACAATTTACAAAATTCGTATTTGATGTGATTTAAATCCATCAATCATTATACTGTAACGAAGGTAGTCACAAGCAAAATGTTGTGGCACAAACAACTGTTTACGAGTTAGCTTGTTTTAAGTACAACAGCCTCGTGAAATATTCTAATACCTATCCGACTCGCTAGGTCAATAAAGTAATTTGTCTCTGCTGACTATTGTCACAAAAATTAGTACTTACCTACCTACTGGCAACTTAGGTATGTACACTTCAATGAATCATGAGTGACATTGGCGATGATATAAAACTTTGTGTTACACAAACATCATTACATAAATATTTTTACATAAATATTATTACATCATGCAAATGAGCGATCGTCCAACGGCATTCAGGGTGATGAAAATAAATCATTCGAAATTAAATCCGATGCCCACCCTAAGGGCCTTGATGAAACCTGATAAGGTTTAGATCGGCTACGAAACTATCATTTAATTCTAGCTGTGCTTGCGACTTCGTCTGCATAACTTTTCCCGCTTTCGCAACATTCTTATTGATGCTCCGCTACTATTGGTGGTAGAATGATGTAATTATGATTTTATAGCATTCGTGGTTAAAGGACTCCAACTTCTTCAGCCCTATAACATTATTATCATAATTGTAATTACAATAATATACATAATTACATATTATTATTAAGATTGCTCTGAATTAAGCTGGTTGACTAACCGTCAATAAGCTGATCTAGCTAACAAGTTATCACTGTTAGCCCTAAAGATAATGGTCGCACAGTCCTACCACAGCACCGACGTTGGTAAACCGCAAAGTTTACTAACTTTGTACTAGAAAAGTTTGTATCATTATAAATTTTATCAATTCCGACTCAAACTTCGCTATCCCTAGCGAACAGCGATAACGCGGAATACTCAGACAATACAAAAGTATCGTACCTATACATAGCCGGCTAGCTATTGTCACCTATTCATTACACCGTCCACCTAGGCTACGGTCCCGTAAAGGTTTTTAAATATTAAAATCTGATCTGATACCTAAATGTGGGAAATGTTGGAGACCATCAAACGCCCGCTATCGGCAAGCGACTTTAACTGTACCAGTGAATATTCTTATCCATACCTAATAATTATTCACTCTTACCGAAGCTTACATATTTCATCCAATGGCCTGATAATGTGAGTGAAGGTGAACGTAGCTTTTGAGCCTTTTACATGACGTAAAGTAACCGATAGTTCATTATTACGTAGTTAATAAACAATCCATTAAACGTGAATTTACGGAGATGCATATGCAGTGGTTGCATTCTGTAAAATATTTTAATGTACCTGCACACAGTAGGTACATTACCACTCGGTAGACAGATAAGCGTATCCACCTAAATATTCAACAATTTTATTTAGGTTCTAACTAATTCATAACATTTCTCACTGATCAATGTCTTATTCTTAAATTGATCACATTGGCGATTACACAGCGCCACCAGGAGATAATAGACACGTCTCTCATTATAAAGGCTTCGAATAACGGTACAGTACTGTTTAATAGCGACGTTTTACCTGAAAATAAAACGTTTATTAAACATACTTACCTTATTCGAAGCCTACTTTTTAAATCTACCTGGTGTCATAAAACACAATGGCGAGAATATCGAAACCTAGTTTCGAGCTACCGTTGGTGGCGCTAGTGTCGCTAATTGAGGTGTGCTTAGGCGGTGGGGGACCGGAGCGGAAGTCACGTGGGCAGATTATACGTCAAAACTAGTACTCAAACAGGAAAAGACAGACACTACTCTCATTATAAAGGCTTCGAATAAGGTAAGTATGTTTAATAAACGTTTTATTTTCAGGTAAAACGTCGCTATTATTTCTCAGTCAGTACCTCTCTACAGTCGACATTCAGGCTGGGTTGCACCTTCGTACTTTAACTTTGATAAACGTCAAAAATCTGTCAAACTACCTACATACAAAATACACCGGTTATCGCTATAGTTGCTGTCAAAGTTAGATGGTGCAACTCAGTCTTAATATTACAGCTAATTAAGTTAATAGCTTGATGTCCTATTGTTTGTTTCTTTGTACCTTGACTTGAATCACCTGAAATATATAGGTATAGGTTTTATTTTTATCAGTACTATAATCACTATTTTCGTAATTTGCCAAACAAATATTGCGCCCATAAAAAACATGTGAGTGCGTCCATCCATCGAGCAGCCCTAAAAGTGGAATGGAGTTGATTCTCAAACAAATACCGGCCAAAGTTCACCACAGTACGAACTCGGTCATTTAACAGATGCCCACGTCAGTGCAAAATGTTCCGTGGCGGAATGTTGCCGGGCCGGCAAGCAACCGCAACCGAATAACGGCTCAACCACACCGCTGAAAACCGGATTTGCGAAAGCCTAAGCTGTATTTATAAATGGCATGTATTTAAATGATCTTTTTAAATTAGCAAAAACGGCAACTAAAAAAATCTAAATGGTCATCTATTTTAATGATTGATCCTCTTTCTTTGAGACATAAAATAAATGAAATCGATCGATATTTTAACCGCTATTGAACTACGCAAAAAAAATTTGAGATGTAAAAATTATATCTGATCGTTACTTGTTGGTCCTCAAAAATAAAAGAAATGAGCACCAAATATTCAATATTGTGATACTTTTTTAAATAATTCGATTTGTATAAAATATTTTTTGTCTATATCAAATAATCTTCAAAATAATTATGTTATGGTACTTATTTTTATTAAGTTGTAGTCAAAGGATGGAAACTATTTAAAGGCACTTGATGTTCAAAGATATTTTTTATTAAAAAAGCATACTTAACACGTTCACACTGCGTTATCGGGTCGAATTGACCTTAGGTGCTGGATGCGTTGGTGCGGGATGGATGGATATATTCGATCTTTTCAGTAGTACGAAAAATAAATATTGTTTTGCAATTGTTTCGTCAAACACAGTAAATATTTGGAAAAAAAAACTTATCAGGTCCTTACGACCCGATGTCGCACTAAAAGTAAACAAATATCGTTTAGTGCTTTTATCGTGTCTAATCGACCCGTTGACAGATGACTTTATGGTCACTGATCACGGTCGAGATCGGTATACTAAGAGAAAATCAACCTTGCGATTTGAACAAAATAAAGAGGTAAAAATTATAATGTCGGGTTCAGGGATGTCAGAAGTAAGAAATTATTTTACATAGCGCCTTTAGTCCCAAACCAAGCAAAGCTAGTAATTTAAACAAACATGGCAATGTACCATTCTGCTTGCTTATTGGCCGCTCAATGACCAATGACGGACGATTGTCACTCAACCACAAAGTACCGAGTAAATTAAATATTAACCAATAATATTTTTAGTTACATCAAATATATTTTAAAGTTAAGTTATACATAGATCGAAATGTATTTATTAGGTGATCAATATTAAAAGGCAAACTTGATATAAAAATCATCAAATTAACAAAATTAAAGATCAATAACTAAAAAAGAGGATCAAATATTATTTTTGTTTACCAAATATTAAAAGAGTATGTGAAACATAAATATTATGTTACCTTTAATGAAGATCATTCATAATTTGTCCGTAGATCAACTAATATAGACCCAATAATTAATATAAAGATAAAATATAATAAAAAACATCATTTATTTTTAAAAGTGCACATACAAAAAAGATCAATTAGTTTTTAGAGGATCAAATAATATTGTCCCTTTATAAATGGGTTTGCCGATGATCATTTCAGAGACTCGACTTAGTTTAAGTCAATGAAAGGGTTAACTTATACAAGTTTGTTGGTCTAGAACAGTGGTTCTTAACCGGTGGTCCGCGGACCACTGGTGGTCCCTGGAGGCATTCCAAGTGGTCCACGAAGTGCACTTGCACACCTTGGTCAAAACCACTTTTAACTAATTTTTGCAGTCAAACTGGTTTTGACCGATTATGAGGTGGTCCCTGACAAGACAGAAATTTGGTAAAATGGTCCCTCATGACTCAAAATTTATAAAATTCATTTATTTTTGCAAATAGGCTTTTAGAAAGCACTTTTACACGTCCCAATATTAACCCTACCACTGCCTCGGGACAATAAATGGGCCAGTGCTGAGAAGAAGCAGCGCAAGAAACTCAGTCACTATTGTCAGCCTCCTTTTCAAGGGTTTACAGTCATACGCATTGATGCGAGCTAGGTGGCTAAAGGTTAAGAACCACTGGTCTAGAACTACAATGAATTGTATAGTACAACAATGATAGCAGAGGGTGCAGATTTATCCTTTACCACCGACTTTTAGTTGGCCGATAGCTGGGTCGGGCTGCATGTATGAAAGTGCGCACATTACAACGATTTGGTATCGGCCGATTCTTTAAACGAACTAAAATCGAGCCCAACTATCGGTCAACTAAAGGTCGGTAGGTCTGCGCCTAGGCTTAATCGGAGGATAAGTCAGTATGACATGCTTTAAAAAAAAACTGTAAAATAAAATAAAACCTTTTATTTTGCCAATATCTTGAACATTTTTTTGTTTTAAATAAGGATCAAATAAATATTTTTTAATTTAGTTTATTTTTTCTTAAAATCCAAAAGCCTACTTTTGTCCGATTTCCATCTGGGTTATCGTTGCATGCTTATCAGAGGCGGAATCAAATTAAAACAAAAGAAAAGTTGGCAAAAACATGAATGAATTCCGGACCTTGTTGATTTCAAAACCAATGGATATAATTTTCCTGGAAAATTCATATTTTAATTATTTTTTTTTCGGTAAAAATGACAATGATCCGAGACAATATTTTATATTTTTGCCAACCAATTCCTTACACTTTAAAATATAATTTGATATAATGTTATTCCTTCATTCTTGACTTGATATCTTGAAAATCGGTGCAGTTTTTATATCTTCTTACTTTTTGTCTAGACATGGTGGCTGCGCTTCTGTTGAAATAATAATAAAATAGTTTTAATAAGTTATGATTTTGTTGATTAGTTAGTAAGAATAATGGATGGCTCAATAAAAATATTTTTGATTTTTGATTTTTTTGAAACACCATGAGCACATTAATTGAAGTAGGTACAGACGATAGTAAATTAGTCTTTACAATTTGTTGTCAATTCGCTATTATTACAAATACTTAGTTACTTAGGCAGTTCGATTTTTTCAAGTTATTTATAATTTTCATACTTAGTTAAGAACCCACAGTGTTCAGCTGCTCTTGCTGTTATCCGTACTTATAGTATAAATGTATATTGTATACTGTGTATCGACTACGTTAAAAATATTAAAGCAGCAACAAAGAAAATCTATAAGACTATGAATTTCAGATTGATCCCTTTTATCACAGTAAAGCTATATTTAAGTAAGTTGTATAGAAGCATCATATGAAGCAATCACAGGCGAGGTGCTCTTGGATGCAGGCAGCGTGTGACCGGTCTTTGTGGAAATACATGGCGGCCTTTTTCCAGTAGTTGACAGCATTTGGTTGAGAAAACCATCATTTTACAGCTTGGTAATTACGTACCCTCAAGCATAAATGACTCTTATTTAATAACATATTAGGTACATTATTACCTGGGCACGTATCTTCTGGAATGCACATTCCTTCTTGTGTCCTCAAATAACCATCCTTGCAGATGCACCCTGGTTTACATTTTTTCTTAGGCTCTAATGCCAGGCAAGAGAGGAAGTTTATACCGTACTGGATGCAATACTGTTTCATGCATGGGGCGTTTGAGCATTGAGAGTATATTTCTCCGGGTGGACATTGCGCTTCTGGATTGGGAGAAGAATAATAACACCGGTCAACAAAAAAAAAAAAAATTTTTGCGCACGGATTTTAGTTATTATATTTAAACTAAATAAACAAATTTATTTAAAAAAGTGCGATTACAAATCGAAAATATTTGCTTTTTAAGAAGTTATAGCGATTTGAATATTCCATCTTCATAGTAGAATGTCTCTAAAAATGCACCTCAAATTCTCATTGGGATACATTTATAAATAATTATGGGGGCTTATTCGCAAGAACAAGGGGCACGCTTCCATAAAAATATAGTGGGATTTGAGAGACGATGTTACCAAGGCCAGTATACTGAAAGCATGATAGGGTTAGGTTTTTATGAGAAAAACCTTCTATGGAACATGACAGGAAAGTAGAACATTTCATTTTAAGTAAATATTTGGACTCTATTTTTAAACTTCTCATGTGAGAATGAATCTTAAATGGATGTTTGGTATATTTTAATAATTAGAAAAAAAAGAAAGAAAGAAAAAAACATATTTGGCAACAAATTAAATCATCTCTAAGTCCATGTTTCATACATTCATTGATGAATTTTTCAATTTTTTACACATAAAAGCAAATTCAGAACAATTTTTTGTTGTTATTCTTATTTCTAGGTATTAAAGCGATAAAAATAAGCTATGCATAACCCGTGCGCAAAAATACTGTAGAGAGTTGTAAATAAACAGGTGCAGGGAATGGGATGGGAAAATCTAACAGCTAATTCAGACTACGAAGGCTAATAAATAGAAAGAACTAGAGATTTTTTCCCGGAAAATCAACAAGTTTGCTTGATCATAGTGTGTTTTTTTCAAGTTAATTTTATTTCATGAAAATTACATCGATTTCGTTACGTTCCTTTCGTTCCTTCGTCCATTTCAACCGAATGTCGTCCACTGCTGAATATAGGTCTCCCCTATAGACTTTCACAACTACCAGTCTTGCGCTGCCAGCATCCAAATGCTTTCCGTGACCTTCACTAGATCGTCGGTCCATCGAGTGACCTGCCTAAATACGTTTCCCTACGTCTAAGTATAGTTAATTACCTGGACACTCCTCCTGTGGGATGCAAACGCCGTCTTTATTCTTCAAGAACTTCTTCTTGCATATACATCCGGGTTTGCATTTGCTAGTATTGATTGCTGGACAGAATGGAATCGGCGCTCCATACTGGCTGCAGTATTGGAGTCGACATATCCCGTTAGCACACGTGGAATACTCTTCGCCGGACTTGCATCGCGCTGAAACAAAAATTAAATATAAGCGCTCGTGCCCACGGCAATCCAGTTCAGCGGGATTCACGCCTCTATTCTGAGCTCTGTGATTGGTTCGTGTTTCACCCTGTGCGTCCAAGCGTACTGTGAGACCTCATAGTAATGTTTGTGAATACGGGCGACAGTAATGCAAGATCCCACAAAAGTGGATTGTCGTGTGAACAATTACGAAATTCGATATACAAATGGCATGTTCGTGTGAACGTTAAATTAAAACACATAGGTAATTAATACGAAAACAGTTTCTGCAAAAAAACGGGATATCTCCGCAGGAACTAGCTCATAAAATGCGAGCTTCAAAACAGTTGATTGAAGTGCTATTCATTTTTTCATGATAAGTTTGAAATTGTTTATTTCAATATGAGTTTATTAGAGTCCGTTAGTATAGTTAATTCTCATGAACTAAGGCTGAGTTTCGAACTTTGACCACCTAACTTTGACCGTAACTATAACGATAAACGGCGTTTTTGTATGGAGTTTGACAGATTTTTGACGTTTGTCAAAGTTAAAGTAAAGTGTAAGCAACCCAGCCTTAAAATGATAGATTTAACTTTAATTTATTGCTTAAGCAGGTAAGGTTGATGCTTGAGCCACCTTATAGCAAGCAAGATGCTATCCTCGAGGGCCAACTTTGGATGGTAAACATACCCACATTGTTTACTCTGGAGTTTACACGGGGCGAGCACATAAACAAAGGTGTCTCACAAACATTGATGCACTTTAATACAGTTTAATTTTATGTTTACGATCACCAGAATGTACTCTGTGTTTGTTCATATAATCTTTGCAGAATTCATTGTCTAATGATAACTCAACAAGTCCCTAATAATAGGCTTAAAGCGGAGAGAAACGATAATTAAAACTGTTAGAAATGTAACGTCACTTTGTCTAGGGCGCTGTAGACAATGTGACAACCATTCTTTACGTAAGTGCTTCGATATTTAAGTCCAACACAAACGATGCACTCGAATAAACCCCATCTAAAACTTTGATCATTTCTGCCTAGAATTATACGAAATTAAATCAACATGGTTCGTTATTAGATAGCCAAGCTAAACCAAATATTTTGTCCGAATTTAGTTGAAAACCCAATTCGTTGGTGTAATCCGTCAACCCGCCCGTGCCCCGTACTCTAGTTTACTCGTTTAAAGGTTGCTACACACTATAAGCGGGTCACTATTATCGATCGGCACGAGTGACTACTGCATCTACATTTTTGCATCTGAACTAATTACTATAATTTTATTGATTAACGTCCGACTGTGCCGATTATCACTGATTATGCTTATGACGGTTCGCGTCACAACAGAGAGTGACAAAGACAAGAAGTGACTGTGACAAACTAAGACAGTAGACTACGCTACGATCGTACTTGACTTAGACACCTTAGATCTGTCGCTTGTCTCGATTTCGTTCACGAACTGTGTGCTTACCATGAGTTAAGAGTTTACGTTAGATGTGCTCGCTAGCGACTACGTAAACAATGACATTAAATGTATGACAAATTGTGCAGCGCCCCTAGCGGCTACTTTCAAGAACTAAACTCTTCACAGATTTTTTTGATGCAGTAGCTAGCGAGTACACCTAACGTAAACTCATGTTAAGCACACTGAACGCGCGGTCTCTGTCGCGGTCGCTGTCGCGGTCGCTGTCGCGCTCGCTTGTCATTGCACTTGTCACGATCGCTTCTCTCTGGTCGCGGTCGCTTGTCACTGGTCGCGGCGCGAAACGCGTGAGTGTGTAGCTTCCCTGATAGCACAACACCGACCCGGTTGTAAATAGATGGGCAGGGCAATGAGTGGGAGGTGCAACACTCAAGACGGAGAGCTATATCCACTGAAGGGCATTGGGTCGGCGAAGATGGATAGAAAAATTTTTCATTACTTAAGACTTTATCTTGGGTTTATCAAAAAAGTTAAAGAAAACGGTGCAGCAATAATTTCTGAATAATTCTGAAAACGGTTTTATTCAAGGTCCGGTTTATTTTATGCGTTTCATTTATTGCTATAATTTTTATTTGTTAAATGATAAATGTAAATGAAATATGAATAAATCAGTTTAAGAAGCTTAGTTTAAATTTTTAAAAATGTTAGCAGTTATTTTTTTTGGTTCTAAAACACACATGTCAATAGAATTTCATTGAAAAGCTTTTAAAATTTTGACTAGATGGGATTAACTTTTAACAATACATTTTAGTTTGTTGGGATTTCCAGTGGCCAGGGCTTAGTAATCAACTTAATTGCCAGCCGTCATATCAGTCGGCGTATGAAGCGGCTTTGCCATGTCAAAATAATAATTTCATAAACTAGAGTAACATTTAGGATTAGGATTACTTTGATCCTAAAACAGTTGTTCAAAAACAACGTCTGTTGTATGTATATCAACAGCACTTCTTCTGAGTTCTTATGAGATGCCACGGTGTTAACATCAGCTGGAATTGTTCGTTTATGGTCCTACTCGTATCAACTAGCCTATTTTTACCCGACTGCGCCAGAAGAAGTGTTATGTTTTTTTCTGAAGACCATTTCACTGGCTGGATTTTGCTGCCAATGAGATCAAAATTGTAAGTAGCTCATTCACGATCTCCGAGTAAAGTTCTGAATAGTAAAGTTCCTAAGTCTTTGGCAAGCAAGAGTAAGAAATATTTTAGTGTCAAAGTCTGGTCAGTCTCATGGTTTCGTTGCTCCTATGACACTTTATTTAGAGACGGTGAACGAGAATTATCTACAAAAGCACTTACGACATTGACTCTCTGGTATGCATGTTCCATTATCAGCTCTCAGGTAACCAGTTTCGCAAACGCATCCCTTGATACAGCCGCCTTCTATTATCGATACGCAGGCAACAGGCTTGTCCAGCTGAGAGCAGTTCCTTCTAGCACAACCACCGTTGATACAATCGGAGTACACTTCGTGGCACTTACAGGTTGGGGCTGCAAGTAGGTAACAATAATCAGTCTTAAGCTTATTTATTTAGAAAGAATATTAATTATTTGTTAAATTATATTATCCAGTCTGACAACGACACGGTTATTAGTCGCCTTAATAAACACCTAGTTAAACACTCATGATGTTGTTTGCATAACTAATTAATGTGACAAATGAATGCACGATCTACCAACTCAATCAACATAGGGCACCTTGTAACCATGCCAACAATTTACACGCTTTTATACATATTTAAACGAAAAGAAATAATTAAAACTTACTGCATTGCTTTGGTAGCACACACTTCTGGATGTTCTGGTCGTATTTGTAACCAGGTTTGCATTGACATCCATTTACTTTACAGATTTTAGGACATGGTATTGGTCCGGAGCATAGGTCACAAAAGACGCCACACCCTGCTTCGGCATTAGGATCTCCTCCACAAGAAGCTGCAGCGAAAGTTGTGTTGTTTAAAAAGGATTCAATAGAGTTCAAAATTCAATGTAGGATTCTTGTAGAAGTGTACTTACGACATTGTTTCTGTGGAATGCATGTGCCATTGGCAGCCCTTAAGAACCCTACATCGCAGATGCAGCCCTTTTTGCAATCTTCGGGACTTATCTTGACGCAAGGGACGGGGTTACCCAATTGAGAGCAGTTTCTAGCATCGCACCCACCATTTACGCAGTCGGAATAAACTTCATTGACTTTGTTCTTACAGGATGCTTCTGCAAGACAGGAGTTGTTTACAATTCACATTTTGAGTTTACAACAAGCCTATAGCTTTACATCCTAGTCATAAAAGAGTTAAAGATAAATAATAAAGACCTGGACATTTCTCCTCCGGAATGCAAACACCATCCGTATTCCTAAGATTGCCTTTTGCACATATACAACCGGGCTTACAAGAATCAGGGTTCATAGGCGCACACGGTGGAACAGGCTTTCCATACCAGCTGCAGGTCTGGGGTGGACAAATTCCGTTGGCACATTCAGAGTACACTTCGCCTTTTTGGCAGCGTTCTGGAATAAAACCATTATTATTTTTGGCACTTTTAACACACACAATGTCAATAGAATTTAATCGAAAAGCATTTAAAAGTTTGGCTAGATGGCATTAACTTTTTAGTTTGTTGGGATTTCTATTGCATGATATTTCTGCAAGACAGGAATTATTTACATTCACATTTTGAGTTCACAACACGCCTTTATAGATTTACATATTATTCTGTAAGTCATAAAAAAGTTAAAGATAATCATAAAGACCTGGACATTTTTCCTTCGGGATGCAAACACCATCCTTATTCCTAAGATAGCCATTTGCACATATGCAACCAGGCTTACAAGATGCAGGGTTTATGGGCGAACACAGTGGAAGAGGTTTTCCATACAGGCTGCAGCTTTGGGGCGGACAAACTCCATTGGCACATTTAGAGTACACTTCGCCTTCTTGGCAGCGTTCTGGGATAAAACCAATAATTGATATAAATAGCCTATATGATAATGGGTAAACCTCACAACGAACAAATGAAAACTGGTGCAGTGTCATTTCGTCGCTTGCCTCTCTAACTGACGTAACTGACATTTTGCAAAATTTTCAGGCGATTAGACAGATCGATTCGTCTTGCGAAATTGATTAAGATGGTGTAGATAACTCAGTTTCGAAAAAAATGACAGATACGTCAGTTAGAGAGGATAGCGACGATTTGTATCAAAGAGCTTAAGGTATCTACTAACGGCACTGATCCTCCGGTATACAATTCCCCTTATCATCTCGCAGGTATCCAGATTCACAAATGCATCCCTTAATACACCCGCCTTTTGTCACTAGAACGCATAGAATTGGTTTGCCCACTTGCGAGCAATTCCGTCTAAGACAACCACCGTTGACACAATTTGAGTACACTTCATGGTCTTTGCACGTGGGAGCTGCAAGCATAATCTTCAGTTAAAAAACAAGTCAATTACGAAACACCTGATCAAACATAATTTGCATTACAAAGTACCTAAGCTAGCAAATAATTGTCTGAGCACATTGTGTCTGGGACTATAGAATGACGTCAAAAAATAAGGTATACAACTGCCTAAATAAATGGTTGCAGGCTTGCAAATTTATAAATCAAACACAAACACCAGATAAAGCCAATAAAATAGACTTAAGAAAATTAATTGGTACTTACTGCATTGTTCAGGCAGTACGCACTTCTTGGTGTTATCATCATAAATATAGTTGGGTTTACATTGACATCCGTTCACTTCACAGATTTTGGGGCATGGTATGGGTCCAGAGCATCTGTTACAGAAAACACCGCATCCAGATTCCGCATTAGGGTCGCCTCCACAAGATGCTGGTGTAAGAAAGGTTTGAAAATTAGATTAAAAATTTCAATATCATCGATTTTCTCAAATAATTCTGTTAGGATGGGTAAACTTACGACATTCTTTCACAGGAATGCAAGTGCCATTGTCAGCTCTCAAATAGCCCGAAGAGCAAACACATCCTTTAATACAATCGTCGGGATTCAACTTTACGCAAGGTATTGGATTGCCCAGTTGAGAACAGTTTCTTGCGTCACATCCACCATTGATGCAGTCGGAGTATTCTTCATTATCTTTACAAGTTGGTGCTGTAAGATCGAATTATACATCAATCTTAGTATAATCGATATGCAAAAAGAACAAGTAAAAATTTCGAATAGTACGTACTGCATTGATTGGGTAGAACACACTTCTTGATGTTCTGATCATAGATGTAGCCGGATTTACATTGGCAGCTATTTGGATGACATATTCTCGGACATTTTATTGGTCCTGAGCATCTGTCACAGAAAACGCCGCACCCTGATTCAGCGTTAGGATCGTCTCCACATGATGCTGTCACAATGAGAATGGCATAATTAGATCAGGTATTTTGACTCGTATGTAAATGGTGATTAGATTTATTCATTCTAACTACACTTACGACATTGTTTCTCGGGAATGCAAGTGCCGTTGTCAGCCCTCAAATAGCCCGAAGAGCAAACACATCCTTTAATACAATCGTCGGGATTCAACTTTACGCAAGGTATTGGATTGCCCAGTTGAGAACAGTTTCTTGCGTCACATCCACCATTGATGCAGTCGGAGTATTCTTCATTGTCTTTACAAGTTGGTGCTGTAAGTTTCAATTATACATCAAGCTTATTATAATGGATATGCAAAAAGAATAACTAAAAATTTGGAATAGTACGTACTGCATTGATTGGGTAGAACACACTTTTTGATGTTCTGGTCATATATGTAGCCGGATTTGCATTGGCAGCCATTTGGATAACAAATTCTCGGACATTTTATTGGCCCTGAGCATCTGTCACAGAAAACGCCGCACCCAGATTCGGCGTTAGGATCATCTCCACATGATGCTGTCACAATGGGAATGGCATAATTAGATCAGGTATTTTGACTCGTATGTAAATGGTGATTAGATTTATTTATTCTAACTACACTTACGACATTGTTTTTCGGGAATGCAAGTGCCGTTGTCAGCCCTTAAAAATCCTGAAGCACAGACGCAACCCTTAATGCAGGCGTCGGGACTTATATCCACGCAAGCTACAGGGTTGCCCAATTGAGAGCAGTTCCTTGGACCGCATCCACCATTGATGCAGTCGGAGTATTCTTCATTGTCTTTACAAGTTGGTGCTGTAAGATTCAATTAAACATCAAGCTTAGTATAATGGATAATTATGCAAAAATAATAACCAAAACTTTCGAATAGTACGTACTGCATTGATTGGGTAGAACACACTTCTTGATGTTCTGGTCATAGATGTAGCCGGATTTACATTGGCAGCTATTTGGATAACAGATTCTCGGACATGGTATTGGTCCTGAGCATCTGTCACAGAATACGCCACACCCTGATTCGGCGTTAGGATCGCCTCCACATGATGCTGTCACAATGAGAATGGCATAATTAGATCAGGTATTTTGACTCGTATGTAAATGGTGATTAGATTTATTCATTCTAACTGCACTTACGACATTGTTTCTCGGGAATGCAAGTGCCGTTGTCAGCCCTCAAATAGCCTGAAGCACAGACGCAACCCTTAATGCAGGCGTCGGGACTTATATCCACGCAAGCCACAGGGTTGCCCAATTGAGAGCAGTTTCTAGGATCGCATCCACTATTAATGCAGTCGGAGTAGACTTCATTAGCTTTGCAAGTTGGTGCTGCAAGATTCAGGTGTAACAATTAATACCTACTAAGAAAATAATAAAACAAACTTGAATCTATAAAGACAATACTCACTGCATTGCTCGGGTAGAACGCACTTTTTTATATTCGGGTCGTAAATGTAGCCCTCTTTGCATTGGCATCCGTTTAAAACACAGATATCGGGACAAGCAACTGGACCAGATTTGTAGTTGGTGCAGGTTTCACAGAATGTACCACATCCAGATTCTGCATTTGGGTCACCTCCGCAAGCAGCTTTAAAAACATTAGGTACAACAATTAAATGCAATGCAAGTATGGTGAATTACGCTGTATTCAAATGTACTTACGACATTGTTTCTCGGGAATGCAAGTGCCGTTGTCAGCCCTTAAAAAGCCTGAAGCACAGACGCAACCCTTAATGCATGAGTCGGGACTTATATCCACACAGGGCACAGGATTTCCCAATTGAGAGCAGTTCCTAGGATCGCATCCACTATTATTGCAGTCGGAGTAGACTTCATTAGCTTTGCAAGTTGGTGCTGCAAGATTCAGGTGTAACAATTAATACCTGCTAAGAAAATAATAAAACAAACTTGAATCTTCTAGAAAATACTCACTGCATTGCTCGGGTAGAACGCACTTTTTTATATTCGGGTCGTAAATGTACCCCTTTCTGCATTGGCATCCGTTTAAAAGACAGATATCGGGACAAGCAACTGGACCAGATTTGTAGTTGGTGCAGGTTTCACAGAATGTACCACATCCAGACTCTGCATTTGGGTCACCTCCGCAAGCAGCTTCAAAAACATTACAAAAATTAAATGCAATGCAATGCAAGTATTAAATGGTAAATTACGCTGTATTCAAATGTACTTACGACATTCTTTCTCGGGAATGCAGGTTCCATTATCAGCTCTTAAGTAGCCCGCGTCGCAAACACAGCCTTTTTTGCAGTATTTTGGGTCCAGTCTTACGCAGGGCACCGGTGTGCCCAGTTGGGAGCAATTTTGGGCAGTACATCCAGTATTGGTGCATTCAGAATAAACTTCATTGATCTTACATGTTGGCGCTGCAGAATTTTATAAAGTTACTTAAGGCATGTTAAATGAAACGTCATAGTAGCAAAACAATTGTTTAAATGATAATAAGCTTACTGCATTGTTTTGGGAGAACACATTTTTTTGTATTCTGATCGTATATGTAACCCTCTCTGCATTGACAGCCGTTCAGTATACAACCAATGGGACAAATCAGCGATTCATTTTTGTAGTTAGAGCATCTTTTACAGAAGCTACCACATCCTGATTCGGCATTAGGATCACCTCCACACGATGCTGTTGCAAAAATAACGTATAATCAATTAAAGTGATTACTATAATATTAAAAAGAGAAGAAGGGTCATGTATTTTACTTACGACATTGATCTGTAGGAATGCAAGTGCCATTATCAGCTCTAGTGTAGCCAGGTTTGCAGATGAAACCTTCGATACAGTCTTCATCTTTGACCACAACGTCGGCACATGCCAACGGATAACCCAGCTGCGAGCAGTTGCGCGCGTAACACCCGCGATTTATGCAATCAGAGTATTCTTCATTGGGTTTGCATGCTACGAAAAACGTGAATTAAAGTTAGACATTCAGATACCAAGTAGGTATGATAACATTGCACATTTTATGAATTTGAGAAAATTGTACTCACGACATTGTTTCACAGGAATGCAAGTGCCGTTTTTAGCTTTCAAATAGCCTGACTTGCAGACACATCCTTTGATGCAAGCACCTGGTTTCAGCTTCACGCAACGCACTGGCTTGCCCAGTTGGGAACAGTTTCTTCGGGTACACCCACCATTGACGCAGTCAGAGTATTCTTCATTGGCCTTACATGTTGGTGCTGTAAGATAATCAATTATAAAACACTAACCCCCTTACTAATAAAAAGTTACACACTTGTTGAACACTGTTTTAAAATGACATTTCCATACTAAACGTCACTTTAAAACACTGTTCAACGAGCGTGTAAGTTTTATTAGTAAGGGGGTAAATATTCTACCCATTAAAAATACAAAGTCCAAATTGAACTTACTGCATTGCTTGGGACGAACACACTTCTTTATATTCTGATCGTAGATGAAGCCCTCTTTGCATTGACAGCCGTTCAGTATACAGCCAATAGGACACTTAAGCGTTTCATTTTTGTAGTTTGAACATCTTTTACAGAATGTACCACATCCTGATTCGGCGTTAGGGTCACCTCCGCACGATGCTGTGATAAAAATAACGTTTAGGCAATTGAAGGATTTACAGTCAATACAAGAAGGATAAATCATTGTATGTATTTCACTCTCAACATTGGTTTGACAAAACATCTACTCACGACATTGTTTAGAAGGAATGCACGTGCCGTTGTCAGCCTTCAAATATCCCGACTTGCAAACACAACCTTTGATGCAAGCATCAGGACTCAACTTTACGCAAGGCTGTGGCTTGCCTAGCTGGGAACAGTTTCGAGGACTGCATCCCCCGTTGATACAGTCAGAATATACCTCATTGTCCTTACACGTTGGTGCTGTAAGGTTATCAATACATTTAGACAAAAGAACATCAATTTATTATTATCAAAGACTCCTAATAATAATAAGATTAACAACTTACTGCATTGTTTGGGAAGAACACACTTCTTGATGTTCTGATCGTATATATAGCCTTTTCTACAGTCACACCCGTTTAGCCTACAGATAGCAGGACACGCAATAGGTCCTTTCTTGTAATTGGAGCATTTTGTGCAGAATGTACCACACCCCGATACGGCATTAGGATCCCCTCCACAAGATGCTGTTAAAGATGTTACAATTAATTGAAAGCTTATTGTTAAAACGAGAAGGACGATAATTTTTTCGTACACTTACGACATTGATCTGTGGGAATGCAAGTGCCATTATCAGCTCTTGTGTAACCAGATTTACAAATGTACCCTGGGATGCAGTCTTTGGGATCAACATCGACGCATGGTAACGGAAGACCCAGCTGCGAACAATTTTGTGCGTTGCATCCACGATTTATGCAATCGTTGTATTCTTCATTAGGTTTGCAAACTGAAATAAATTATTTGATTTGAAATAAATTAGCTATTTAATTAAAGTTTATTGAAATAAAGAAAAGATAAGAGCTTTACATTACCCAAGTTACTTCATGCATTCTTAGATTACGATAAATGTACATGTGACCTTGCCTAAAAGATAACTAATTACAAGTAATTCTAATCTTGCTGTAAAGGCCTTGCTGTGTACGAGTATTAATTGGAACACGAAAGTTTTAGCCTAACAACAACAATAATAATAATAAAGAAAGTAAAACAACCATAATACCTGTCGTTGAAACTACTAAAAACACATCAGCCGTTATGGCCGCCAACAAAACCAGCTTCAACATTGTCACTTCGAACATTTAGCGGTGTAAAGATATTTACCCCGTTTTATAGCCGGTGCTAACACGACTTTGAGCATCTGTTTCAATAAAGAGAAAATGTTTTTCCTTCAATGAATGAAGTTTTTTGCAATACATCATACCTAAGTACAATAATGAAATTTCCTTTTACAGCGTGTTTGCTGGACTAATAACGGCTTTGTGCAGTTAATGTGTGTAAATAAAACAATATTTAATATTCCTATCCTTCGTAAATAAAATTTATGATAAGATACGTAAATTGTTACAAATTAATATTGTTGTCTAGTAAGCACAGACATGAAACAGTGTGAAACATAATATAGATAAGTGTTAATTTTCTAGAATAGTTAATGTTTAACTAAGTATAAAATAATTTATGAAGTACGACATTACCTGCCATTTAAACTCATAAATTGTGGTATGGCGAATGGATTACACAAAATTGTAACACATTATTATAAAAATTTAGTACCATAATTTATACCCACCCCATCTTGCTCTACTTATCTGGATCTAACCCGTAACCACACCGCGGCAATTAATTATGTCACACTTGTTCAAAAAGCAAAATAAATCGGAACCCCTGTTTTAGAAATCGAAAACATTAACAAATAAATGAACAAAAGAAAAAAAGGCAGCATTTAGTACCAAATATGGAAAAAGGCAGCATTTAGAGAAAATAAATAAAAATGTTAAAGTAAACAAAAATAGAAAATTTTAAGACTTGAGATCAACCTTGCTTACGTTTTTTATTGTTCTTATTTCAACCTATCCGTGATTGCGTTGCACGATAACTGATTCAACGCAGTATTGTTAATATTATTACGAGGAAGTTTTTTTACGCCTACACGGTTATTTAATGATAGTTAATTAATGTTCTATCGTACGTGAATGTAGAATAAATAAAAGTCGTTAGGTGATATTAAAAAATTTGAATACGTTGTTTTATACATATAGCAATATCATCACACCTCGGGAACGGAGGAAACTCAACTGGTTAATGTATTATTTTAATGTATCTTAGAGTAGAAAAAACTAGCTGTGTCTGCGACTTGGTAACGCGTGAAAATAGTTTGAATAATATTTCCCGTTTTTGCAACATTTAATTTACTGCTCCGCCCCTATTAACATAGCCTAAAGCCTTCCTGGATAAATGGGCTATCCAACACAAAAATAATGTTTCAAACCAGTTTTTCCTCAGATTAGCGCGTTCAAGTAAACAAACTCTTCAGCTTTATAATAGTAGTAAAGTATAGAAGTAAATTAACAAATACCCATCAACTGAATGTCCAAAATCCTTTCGACTATAAATCTAGAAGTTTCCGCGGTTTGTTAAAATCTTGTAGATTGCTGCCAGTGAGGGACAAGTTGTTTCTGCTGACAGCGCCCAGCTGCCCGCTGACAACGGTCCGCGCTGTAATCCCATATTACCCGGGCCTGTCTACATAAACATATACAGATATAGTAGGTACAACAGAACAGAGTATAAATTTTTGTTGCGAATTCGCACTTATTGTAAACACATAAGATGCATTCAAAACGCTAGCTGTGTGCAGTTTGAAATACTCGTGGTGCCAAACGATAGAAACGTTCAGCCTAGGTTCAGACTACCGACTTTTTATCGGCCGATAGTTGAGTCGGGCTGTTAATCAGTATGGACATGTATGAAAGTGCGCACATTACACCGATTTGGTATCGGTCGATTCTTCATACTAACTAGAATCGGGCACAAATATATCGGCCAACTAAAAGTCGGTGGTCTGCGCCTAGGCTTATTTTGGATTCAAATCGAAATTATTTATAACCAATACCATTTTTTATGCAATGTTATCAAAATAATTATAAAATCGGTTAGACACAAACGCAACGACACTGATCCTAAGCACTCATCAAGAAAACTAGGATGTAGATAGGAGTTTGAAGTTATGATTATGGATCTACTTCCCTCTTATTCAAAACGGATGACAGATGAAAAGTTATAAAAACTTATAAGAATAAGGCTGAGTTACATTATCTTACTTTAACTTTGAGAAACGTCAAAAATCTATCAAAATCCATACAAAAAGCAGCGGTTAGTGTTATTGTTACGGCTAAAATAAGGTGGTGCAACTCAGCCTAAGAATACGGATTGTAAGCATGTACAAATTGGGACCTAACGTAATCTGCTAGCTTTTTTCTAAATGACGAATACTTCTTTCAGCGACAAGATGGGTATAATAAACACAGAAATATCCTACGTAATTTTCCACATCAAATCAGTTCTGGCGAAATCCATTGATATTATTTCGGAGTCTGTCAAGTAGGAAAATCTTCCAAACAATAAATCAAACAAATATCATTAATAATATTACTGTACCGTGAAACATGGACGAAAGCAAGTTTATTCTCATAGTTTGTTATAATAATATTTTCATATTGGTCCATGAAGTCTTCCTGCTCCGAAGAGATAGGGCGCATCCACATACGTATTTGAGAAGTAAGTAATACAAGATACTCAAGTGGTAGTGGGCGGGGCACATAGCTGATGGCCGTTGGGGCAGAAAAGTTCTCGAGTGGCGACGGGTAATGGAGACGTAGTGTGGGCAGGCTCTCACTAGGTGGACCGGCGATCTGGTGAAGGTCGCGGGAAGTACCTGGATCCTGGCAGCGCAGGATTATGTATTGTGGAAATTAATTGTGGAGGTCTTTGTCCAGAAGTGGACGTCATTTAGGTGAAACAAACTTCATTCTGAGCCCCAGAGTAAACGTGTAGTCTATCTATTCTCAATACCACTAAACCATGCTTTAATATCGTTAAATTTACCGCTAAGAGTCAATACCACTAAAGCGTCAATTTCCTCTGTAAAACTTTATGAAAAAGCAGTAAATAGACATTTTGTGGCGTTCGAGATGGCGGCTTTGATAGATTTAGTGTGAACGCAGCCTTACAGATATATCCGTAGTTTATCTATGTCACGTCCGGCGCGAAGACTAAATATTTTTCTATAGGGTGCCGTTAATAGCACAGCGGCCGTAAAGATACGCTTCGAAATATAAGGAATTGAAGATTTTTATAAGTCAGCTATAAATACTGGATTTTGAAATCCACTGAAAATATCGAACTAGTAAGTCAACATTGAAATGTATTTACAAATGGTTTTGAGAAAATCCACAGTTTGCTGGAAAATTGACCGTATTACAACTTTATAAGATGCCACAATGTCTACCTTGGAGTCCCTTATTTGTACAGTACCTTATCTTGTAACGACAGTTTGAATATTCCCCGTACTAAATATTCAAATGTCTATCTGCAAATATAGCCATTCACAATTATCATTTCCTTTAAATCTTGTTGAGGTTCAAAGCGTAATGAATGGCTTTTTAAACAAACTTGAACTCTCCAGAGCCTATTTATTTGTGAATCGAAATTGCGCTATCACCTCCGACCTCCAAGCACTTCTGAACTTTTATCTGTCCTTAATCTAAAGACAGTAATGTAATTTATTCCACTGTAGCTATCCCCGGAGATATCGGTGCAGAACTCAGAAGTTATGGCCCTACAGTTTACCCTTTCAAAGCGTATCGACTCGAAGCAGATTTACTAGATTTAGCTTTATGCGTGGTCGTACCGATGGGAGAGTAACAGGCTCTTCTTATCGTAGACGAATCTTCTATAGAGGGTATACGTCACTAAAAGGATGCGAAGTCAAACCGGGAAACCATATCGTTCTTCCGATCCGAACAATGCTTTCAAATGAGGAATATTGAGGATCCCAAATTCAAACCCTATTTGAGGCTTAGCGTCATTTGATTTCGTTTCAACGATTTCAATAATCGTCGACTTTAATGCTGTGGAATAAGGAGCAATAAACTGTTAATGGTGTAAATAAGCTTTAGTCAAAAAGTTTCTGGTGAGTAAACCGTTATAAATTTAGGGAAATTTTCTAATAAAGAACCCGGATGTAGAAAGAAGTCATAATTAGATTTTCTTGTTGACTACTCGTGAAATAATTCCGTTCGTTCCGCTGATTTTTATATCAACCTAATATTCATTTTGGTCGTAAAAATAAGTACAGGAATAGGGGAAATATAATCTGAGTGGAGCATGAAAGAATTAGATTTTTTTCGAAGTCGAAATAAAAACATACAATACTGCCAAAAAACAAATTGAATTGGACTCGTTTATCCCGTGAGAATAAATTCGATATCGCAAAGTGCTATTGTTTGCCTGTAATGGATATTTTATGCAGCGTTCAATGGTCTCTTTTTGGGCCTTATTTAGTGACGTATTAAAATTGTTATGAGATCTCAATCTTAATTGTACTGGGCTATAATTAAACTGAATTTCCTTTGTTATTCTTTTGTTTTTATTTTGAGCTTGGTTTTGGGACGAAAAAGCGTTTGCTTTAAACAAATCATCATCGTCATTTCAGCCACAGGACGTCCACTCGTCCACTGCAGAACATAGGCCTTCCCGATGATTTTCACTTCGCCCGGTTGGTAGCGTTGGTTATAATGAACATTAGTAACAAAAGCTTAAAATTTATTGATGAAATCGTAAACTGAAGTCCCATGTTACATAGTAGACATACTCTGGACATATTCTATCACTCAACACGTATTCATTAGTATTGCATGTGACCATTGCTGAGGGTTGGCAACATAGTGAATAACTAATCAGTCACTAAGACCTCTTGTGTAAGCGAGTAGTGATCAATAGGACATAAAATTAATTATTGAAAGAGAGCATCCTCTCATTCCCACCATTGCAAACTCCTGTTGGACACACAGGAATATTTAATTTATGACTATTAATAAAAGTCAAACAGATAAGGTTAAACTAGTTTTGGGGAAACCTCTTACAATATTAAACTGGTGATAATAGAAAAGCGAAGCGGATAACAGCTAACAAACAAAGGAATGACAACAAACACTGTAAGTAGTATATTATGTAGGTACATGGACGTAGAAATTAAGAAAAGCATCAGTGTGCTTACCATGAGCTTACGGTAGATGTGCTCGCTAGCGAATACGTCAGAAAAATCTA